CAAACATAGAAGAAATTAATCAAGTAAGAGTTACAGATAACATGAAATAAGTGATATCACAAGTGAGAAAGGTTTTAGCTCTGTTTTTTGGTTCAGACAAGAAGCTGTGACGTGCTTTAGCTAATGAAACATGGGAAAGAAGAGATATGAACAGTTAGAAGAAATCCCAGGGTGGCGGGTGTTCAGACAAGGACAGATGATTGTTCATTTTCCTGGTTACAGCTTCCACTTTAGGCTGTCTTTTCTAAGCTTTATCAATGCTTTACCTCCATCTGCATCTAGAGAAGACTGTTGAGCATTTTGATGCATTAATTATGTAGTGGTATTTTTTAAAATATATTTTTATTGATTTTTTACAGAGAGGAAGGGAGAGAGATAGAGAGTTAGAAATGTCGATGAGAAACACCGACCAGCTGCCTCTTGCACACCCCCCACTGGGGATGTGCACGCAACCAATGTACATGCCCTTGACCAGAATCAAACCTGTGACCTTTCAGTCCGCAGACCGATGCTCAACCACTGAGCCAAACCGGTTTCGGCTGTAGTGCTATTTCTTAGGCTCCCTGAAGATTCAACAGTGAGTTAAACAGGGTCTTTGCTCTCATGAAATGGCGCTCAACTGAAGGGAAACAGACAATGAACAAAAAACTTGAGATGGGTTCTTATGTCATGTGGTAAAAGTGGTGCTAGAAAGACATCTCATTAGAAATAGTTAATATTTTAGTTCAGTCAAATGTATTACTGTGACTTTACTTCTCTGATTCTTTCCAAAGGGACACTGTCTGAAAGAGTTTAGATGGTGAGAGGAGGGAGAGGGAGGAGAGAATAATGCACTAAGAGTCTTTTCTTTAGCAGAGATACAGCACCAAGTGGAAAGCAGATGCCAGAAGGAGAAGTTAGAGGATCCTTAGTTAAAGCTGTGGTTATTGCAGAGTTTTCACCGTGTTGGCCTTTCTACAGTATTGTTGCATTTACCTGCTACAGGTGGTGACTGGGTCATAATGACATTAATCTGTGAGCAGGCTTTTTCAGAGTTGACTAGCTTGACCTGTTGCTTCAATGTCATACAAGTAGCACTCATAACACCTACTTTAGCTACAAAAATGACACCTGGCCCACTCCAAACCACCTCTCCTTCCCAAAGACTTTCCCAGGAGCCTGTTCATTGAGTAGGTCTGAGATGTCATCCTGCCAGCATTACCCAGGTGAAGTACAATACAATGAGTGCTACAATGTAATGTAATAGAAATTCCTAATAAATGTTTTCTTCTCAAATTTACTCTATCATGTTGGATTTAGAGTGTAATAGATTGTCAAAACCCACTTTTATTGCCCCGCATAAGTCAAGATGATTAAATGGGAATGAATTAAAGAGCCAGTATGACCAGAGAAGTATCTAACCAGTTGCTTCGCACTATAGAGATCAGAAGGTTATTATGCCAAGAGCACATTTACTAGTTTGAGAGGACAGAGTGATGGTTTCATTGTATTCACTCACTTATTTAAAGTACATAAAATATTTTATAACATTAAGATTGTGGCATTTAAGTTCCAGCCTGGGGAAACAAAGGGAATGGGTTGTCCTGCTTTTTTTGTATGGATTTAGGGTTTTGGTCGAATATTTGTCAGGTTATGTTTAATCAGTGAAGTATACTTTTAGGTTATAGCATTATGTAAATAATGCTATATTTTTAATAATTATATTCAAAATTATTAAAAACAATCACTTAACAAATATTATAACATTTCTCTAAAAATTAGGGAATCAGATGACATAAAATGCTCAAAGAAACAGGTATAAATATTTTGTGCATATCTGTATACATTTTTTCTAGTATTATACATATAAAATATTTTAATCTAATGTAGGATTGTATCATGAATATTGTTCTAGATGTTTAGTTATAAAAATGGTAACCTTGGACAAAGGGGATTTCTGTAGCTGAGGCTGATCCTGAAGCCAGTTTCTATTTAAAATTTGATTTTTTTTATTCTTTGGATTTTTAAATATTTCATTAAAATATTATTTATCTTGATTATTCTGTGTGTGTGTGTGTGTGTGTGTGTGTCCCTTTAAATTTTGCACTTGCCTGATTTACTTCAGTAACCCTGGCCCTGTCAGCTGGGAAGCTGTCTGATAACTCAATGCCTGTAGGGAGGCAGGAAGTACTAGACTTTCCCCAAGAAGGTGCTGGACAATCATCTTGATTTCTACCATACAAGTGACATTTCCAGTTGTAGATTCTTTCTCCTCTTGCATCACTAAGTATGATGTGAAATAGAGCCTGTGGGTGAGAAATAAACCTTTATTGTTTTTAGACAGATCTTGGGGACTGTTTATTATCAAAGTCAACTTGACCTATGCAGAAGTTTGTACTCAAAGTTGGATGCCTTACAGCAACCTAAAATGTCGAAAACAAATGGCACCAGCTAAATGATGAGACTGGACAGTGAGAAAAAGCTATCAAAGGCTGGAAAGATGGCAGTTCTTTTTGTGCTGTGGCAAAACATTCAATGAAAGCAATGCCTTTGGTTTCTTGGAATAAGGATCTTTTACTCAACAAAACTCTTGCTATAAAAGAGGGGATCAAAAAAATAGATCTTTGTGTGGTGTGTGTTGGTTGTTATGTCTCTCTTTAGTAAGTTAATAAAAGAAATAGCAGCACAATTTGCAATAACTAAGATCTGAAAACAGCCCAAGTGCTCATCAGTTGATGAGTGAATAAAAAAGCTGTGGTCATTTACACAATGGGATACTGGGCAGCTGTAAAAAAAAAAAAAAAAAAAAAAAAAAAAGCGATCTCTTACCCTTTGAGATAGCATGGAAGGATCTGGAGGAGTATTGTGTTAAGCAAAATAAGCCAGTCAGAGAAACACAAGTATCACATGATCTCACTCACATGTGGAATCTAATGAACAAAATAAACTGATGAAAGAAGTGGATCCAGAGACATTGAAGCATGGAATAGACTGAAGAATCTCAGAGGGATGGCTGGGTGGGTGAGAGATTAACCAAAGAACTTGTATCCATATGCAAGCCCTTGGATACAGAAATAGTATGGTGAAGGTGTAGGCAGGGAGGGGGGTAGAAAAAGGGACATCTGTAATACTTTCAACAATAAAGATAAATTTAAAAAAGAAAGAAGTTCTCAGACCAATTTACAAGCAGGAATAAATAGAGAGAGCCCATAGTTCCAGGATTCAGGAAATTAGAAGAGACAACTGTTACTTAATCTCAAACACTAAAAGACAAAATTGAGCAAAGCTTGAATTAACAAAGTCTGATTAAAACATGGCCTTTCAGCAAGGGTCAAATTATCAACATGGTCCACATACACATCATTAGTGTAATATAAAGCATAACTGTGTGGAATCTCATAAATTACACACTTTAGGCTTAATATTTACTTTATCTGAGCACTTCAAAGAGATGATTCTATTTTTTTCTTCTATTATTGCTATTGAAAAAGAAAGTCTAATTAGCTTTTAGATTTGTACTTTAAATGCTTTTATAATCTTTATGTCTTCATGGCTCTGAAATTTGATATTAGTGTGTCTAGGCATGGTTTTATACTTATGTTTCCTTCTTCATCAGTTTTGTTCCAGTGAATTTATTCTCAGCCGTTTTCTCTACCAACCTTACCTTTTTCTCATTCTTTGTTTTTGTTCCTTCTGGAAATGCAATTGGAATGTGTTAGACCTTATTCTGTCTTTTAGGTTGCTATGGCTCTTTCATATTTTTTTTATCTTTTTATATCTCTGGGCTGTATAGGAGTAACAGTTTTTTAGAAATATTTTCCAGTTAAATAATTTTCCATTGTTTATCCTACAAACAACTGAGGTTTAAATTTCATTAATTATCTTTTTATTTCTGGAAGATATCTTGGTACATTGACAAATATGCCTGGTATTTTTGACAGCACATTATTTCTTGCTAATTTTTTTTTTGGGGGGGGGGGATTCTAGATTTTATTTCTTTAAATTAATTAAATATCTATACTAATAAAAGCCTGTGTGGTCATCCTGCCCTCATGCTATGATACCCTCATACCATCATGCTGTAACAATCCATCACTAAGAGGCTGTGTGTGAGTGCGCAGTGTGGGGGCGGGTCCCAGCAGCTCAGTGCAGAGTCACGGGGGGCAGGATCCCTGGCTGTGGCCTACCTCTTTGGGGCAATCCATCAAGGAGCTCAAATGGGTGGGCAGGGCCTACCTCTTTGGGAGATCGATTGCAGGTCTCCCGCACTGTGAGAGGGCACAGGCCAGGTTGGGGAACCCCCACCTCTGAGTGCACAAATTTCATGCACCGGGCCTCTAGTAGTTTATAGAGGCTTCATCCAAAAATCTCAATAGCTAAAGTCTTGAGAGTTCTAAGTTTCTTGGTTTTTTATTTCTGCTGCCTCTTTGTTGGTAAATTACTTACTTGAGTATGTGGTAAATTTTTATTGCAAGATCATAATTATTTGAACCTGACCTTGGATATTCTTAAGGAACTTGGATAAAGAGTCTTTAATCTAGAGAGGATTTGATTTGGTCCTGCCAGAGGCATGGGGGTGGGGTGTGTGTGTGGGACTATCAAACTGGGACAACATAAGTTTAAATTCTCATAATTAAAATTTCTTGGCTCTTTCTGAAGTTTAATTTTTATGTAATTTATGTTTCAATAATTTCAAGAATACATAAAGGTTGTAACATCTATATCTTTCACTGAGATTTTCTGAATTCTTTTTTTTTTAATTGATTTTTTTACAGAGAGGAAGGGAGAAAGATAGAGAGTTAGAAACATCGATGAGAGAGAGTCATCAATCAGCTGCCTCCTGCACACCCCCCACCGGGGATATGCCCGCAACCAAGATACATGCCCTTGACCAGAATCAAACCTGGGACCTTTCAGTCCACAGACCGACGCTCTATCACTGAGCCAAACCGGTTTCGGCAGATTTTCTGAATTCTTAATGTTTTGCCACAGTTGTTCTCTGTCTTATTAATCTTTTTCAGAACCATTCAAGAACAAACTTCAGACATGCTGTGCCATCACCCACAAATTCTCCAGTGTTTATTTCCTAAGAACAAGAATGCTCTGCAATGTTACCATCATTCAACTGTTCATAAAGGAAATAACCATTGATGCAGCAATACTATCTAATCCTCAGATTCCCCCAGAATTTTCTTCCCTGTATCAAGCATCGTTTTTCTTTCTAGTCCAGGATCTATTTCAATATAAAACATTACATTTACCTTTATTTTATTTCAACCTGGGACAATTCTTCAGCCTTTCTCTTTTATGAGTTTGAAAGATCCCCCCCCCCTAATTTCTACCCATTGTTTACATTTCTGCCTATTCTTTCACATAGAATGATTAAAATCTTCATTTACTCATAGAATAATCTTTCACCTCCTTAAATCCTTTCTCCAGGCTAAATCTTTTTAATTGTTTTAGTTGCATAAAATATAGTTTCTAGTTTTGTTCTCTGTCTTTTAAAATATAATTCAGTTCTTCAAAAATACTCTGGACAAGATTTCTGATTAGGATAAGCAAAGCCAATTTTGTAAGTTAAACATATATTTACACTAAAATTTTGAGAATTTTTGGCATGAGAGACCAAACACATGATTATAAGAGTATTGCTGGCACAATGTTGTGTGTTTGCCATAGTAGTTGGTTTGTCTTTTTTCACTCCCATCTCAGGACACATCAAGAAGCAAAACTTTGGAGACAATAAACAGATCAGTGGTTCCCATCTCTCTTAGGTGAATGTGTCAATGCAGGTTATCGCTGTAACAAATGTACCACTCTGGGAAGGAATGTTGGTAGTGGGGTAAGCTATGCATGTGTGGGGGCAGGGAGTATATGAGAAGTCTCTGTACTTTCTCTTTTGCTTTGAATCTAAAACTGCTCTAAAAATAAAATATATATATTTTTTTAAAAAGAAGATATTGATATTAGTTGGATTAAGGTGCTGGGATATCAAGGACTTCTTCCATTATTCATTTTAGTTTATATCTTACATATTTTAGAGAATTATAATTATACAGGATGGGGGAAAAGTAGGCTTATGGTTGTTCATATGGGAAATATAATAATAAATAATAATGCAAGGATAAATTCTTTTTTGCATATTCACAACAGTAAACCTACTTTTGCCCCACCCTTCAGTGTGTATTCCAAGTTAGTTTGTTCTTTTCCCTAACATCATTTTATAAATTTTTGCTCAGTTGCTATAAGGTGCTCATGAAGACAACTTTCATAACATTCCATAAAACTGAATTGCCATAATTTACCTAATACCTGTATGGTTGTGCATAATTTTATTACTGTATGCCAATGTAGCTAACCAATGGGAGACTTTTATCTCATTAAAAATCATTTTCTTAAAAACATATTTTCAGGAATGGTACTATTGGACCAAAACAAAACCATTTTTACAGTTCATACAGTTTCTTTTCTGAAGACTTGGGACCAATTACAGTGCTATCAGAAATGAATGAGTGTACACAGTCCATAAGAAGTTCACAAAATCAGACTTTATTTGTACGTTTTTATGATATGATCTTCTATATCTTTTTTAAAAATCATGGAATAGCATCACGGGTTTTGGTTGTTATTCTGCTTTCCAAGTAATTTGTGTTAATGCCAGTCAAGTAGAAGACTCTGCTTCTGAGACCCAGATGTATCGATGGTCATATAGAAAATATGTGATAAACTATAATGGCCTCACTTATTTGTCTGGTCAGTTTTCTGTGTAATAATAATTTAAAAGTCTCAATAGCTTTCCAAAAGAAGCATTTCTTTTTTGCTCATGGATGTGTGGACCCGTTTTGTTGCTGTTCAGCCTGCTTATACTACTATGCTACTCTGTTTGAGTGCACATACAGTATTTTTCGGACCATAAGACGCACTTTTTTCCCCCCAGAAGTGGGGGGAAAAAGTCCCTGCGTCTTATGGTCCAAATATAGCCTACACATATACTTTAAAAAAAAAGTTTTTTTACTTGCCCGGCTCTGTGTGGTCTCTGTGTGCTTGCCCGACTCTAAAATGGTTCTAAATGCTGCTGTTTACTTTACAGGGTTGATTACATGTGTTTATGACTGTAATAGTGTCCTAAAATATTATATGTGCATTATGTTGGGTTTTAATGCACATATAATATTTTAGGACACTATTTGTTTCAGAATCTTTTTTTCTTCATTTCCCTTCTCTAAAAACTGGTGCGTCTTATGGTCCAGTGCGTCTTATGGTCCAGTGCGTCTTATGGTCCGAAAAATACAGCATATTCTTATGCTAAGACACAAGAAGAAGGAATTGTCTCTGTCTAGGATGTACAATTTTCAAAGGGAAGAGCTGCAAGAGACAATGTCATAGCAAAGCAGTTCATGTTAAAACTTGGGCTGTGATTAGCACAGATTCACTTGTGCTTATATTCCCCTGGCCAACACAAATCAAAAAACCAAGTCTGATCATGAGATGGAGAAATACTCTCTGCCTACAGATATATCCCTCAAGTGACATTGAGGTGGATGTGGGTGTATGATGACCATAGTTGTGAAAACATAGTTGGGGCTAGTCCCTGAGGCTTCCTCTGCTCACATGATACTCATTCCTTATGTGTTTCCTCTCATAGAATTTAACAAATTTCATTTATATTATTTATTGCTATATTTATTTTCTCATGTAGACTTTAAGTTCCTCCAGAGTAGGAATAATGCTTTGCTTATGATTTGTACATCCCCAGTGCCTAGGACACAGCACAGCTCATAGAGGTTCTCAAATCAGAGATGTTGCATTGACTGGTCTAACCTTTTCATGTAATAATGATCAGCTTTCATGTTCGTTGGTCTTAGAACTTGAAAAAGGTAAGACAAGTTAATATTTCCCCAAATTACTAGGTTCCCTGATGTGCCCTCTTTTAATGTAAGAAAAGATTACTACTCACATGTATTTTAAAATTTATTTCAGGACAGCGGGAGAAAGAGCAGGCTTTTCATTTGTGCTACATAATAGGATGAGGAGCATATTAGCACTGCCATCATTCAAGAGACTGGGTCATATTAAACTTCACGCTCTCAATTCAGTAGAAGCTCTCTGATCAAGCCCGGCTTTGCTTGAGAAGATAAATGTGTAACAGGCCGACTACTCTCAGAGAGATATTAAAAGGTTGCCTGCTGAAAAAAGGACATTTTCTTAGAAAATTATAAAAAGAGATTTGGAATCTGGGTGGAGAAATCAAAGAACACATTTCCACCACTGAAAAAGTGATGAGATGATTGGGAAGTGGAGGAGAAGAGAAATGTCCAAAGTCAAAACAAATTAGAAAGAAAACTCATACAATCAAGGCTCTTATCTGTATGCTACAGAAGGAACAGTGACAATCACACAATGGTCCCTAAAAATGAAAATGATTTTAATACTTTTTAAATGTGAATAAAAATGAAAAGTGTAAGCATAACATAATATATCTGCTAAGAAATGTATGTCCTTATACCATCATGGTCATAAAATATAGTTTTGAATATGTTTTGAGACAGGGGCCAACAAAGGCAAAGATACCCAGGCCCACAAAAGTCATAACACCACCCTGTTTATGGTGAGGAAATCTTTCAATGCAGGAAAGGACACACTGCCATTGAGCTGAGCAGAGCCCTTCACAATCATAGGCTTGGCCTCATCTCAGAGGAGAATGATTTTTATCCTTTCTAACATTGTTGGGTTGTTAATGATGGAACTGATGGGGAAAAACCGTGAAGAAAATTATTTTGGGTGCCTCCAGCTCCTCTCTCACCTCTACTTTTTGTTTCCCCTTCCCTTCTCTCTCCTCCCTTTCTCTTTTTCTCTGTATCTATCTATCTATCTATCTATCTATCTATCTATCTATCTATCTTTCTATCTATCTATCTATATCTATCTATCATCTATCATCTATCATCTATCTTTTTCTATCATCTATCATCATCTATTGATCATCTATTTATATAGCATCTATATAATCTACTATCATGTAATCTATCATCTATATATGTATACTGTTAAAGGTAAACTGAGGCATATTAATAATTTGACTCCAATCAGGCAGCACCAACCTGAAACTGGTTAGGAGTGGTCACCAGGCTGAGTGAGAAGAAATATATGTAATGAAAGTGTGGAAGCAAAGGAAGGAAATTAGTGGACTAGCTATACATTAAAGCCTAGTTGATTGTTTATGATTGGTTACCCTTAAATTTCAATTTCTGAATTTCTTAACTCTGAGGCATTTATAGACTTGTATTTTGCTTTGCTTACCTAGGCTACCAATGCATGAAAGCCACCTTAGTCTAATGGCCTCCTAATTTAATAATATATATATATATATATATATATATATATATATATATATATATAATGTCTGTATATTGCCACTCATGCAGTTCAATAAATATTCATTGAGTATTTATTATTTGTTTGAGCCTAGTCCAGCCACTTGGGATGTATCATTTAATAAACAAAGAAAAAATCTCAACAATCTCTACCCTCTGGATCAGTAGAACTCAAAATATAGTGTGTAGACCAGCTGATGATGGCTTTATTTTAATTAAAAAATAAATGGGGGACAGGAGATCCAAAATAGAGGCAGAGAAGGTACAGAAAAGTATATTCAGAGCATTTCACCATAAAGCAGCAGAATATACATTTTTTTCAAATGTACATGGAATATTTTCTAAGATAAGCCACATGTTAGGACACAAAACAAGTCTTCATAAATTAAAGAAGGCGGAGGGAAAAATGGCAGCCGAGTAAGCAGATGTGCCTTGCTCCTTGTCCCGGAGCAGATAGAAGAAGTAACTAAATCAGAGTTGAACATATAAACTTTTAACAATGTAAATGTAATATCTACTTATAATATTTGCATTTATTAATTGAATTTTGAATTTGTGTTTAAGATTTTATATATAAAATGTATTAATTTAACTTTCCCCATTTTTATATTTATTAATAAAATTTTATTTAAACTATTCACTATTTAACATTTATGTTTTTGTCTTCTGTAGAGTGTTCTTCAGTCATCTAACACAATTTTTAAATATACATATATAAATTATTTGAGATATATCCTTTTGGGAGAAATTTCTATCATGAGATAGAAATTTTAACTTTTCATATAACAGGGACATTTCCCCCAGTCATTATGTAGATATAAATGAGATAAACTATTCCAATGGTATTAAAAGATAATATTTTTAAGAATAAATTTAAAGCTTTTGCCTTAGC